CCTCGCCGATTCTGACCAGAAACTGGCGCACAGAGCTGGGATCGAACCCGCGCCTCTCTGCGCCAATCTTGGTACTCTGAACTGTAACCACTGGCACCCTTTAATTTAAATACTCATGCCTCTACACTAGTATGGATTATATACCTATATAACATACTATATTATAAAATAGTCCTATAATTAAATGTATAATTAAATATTAAACACTCGGCATTTGCCCCTAAGCATTAAGTGCAGACAAGGTTCTGGGGCCGGACGAGCGTGTCGAGCAGTCAGGATGGCTGTAGCCCAATACTATATAATACTATACTGCTATAATATACCATATAATACTATACTGCTATAATACCGTATACCATATAATACTATACTACTATAATATACCATATAACACTATACTACTATAATACCGTATACCATATAACACTATACTGCTATAATATACTATATAACACTATACTGCTATAATATAGTAGTATATTAAAGACTTTATCCCCTAAACATACGAGGTTCTGGGGCCTGACGAGCGTGTCCAGGAGGTCGGGGTGGCTGTAGCCCAATACTATATAATACTATACTGCTATAATATACTATATAACACTATACTACTATAATACCGTATACCATATAATACTATACTACTATAATATACCATATAACACTATACTACTATAATACCGTATACCATATAACACTATACTACTATAATATACTATATGACAGTATACTGCTATAATATAGTAATATATTAAAGACTTTATCCCCTAAGCTGACCAGGTTCTGGGGCCGGACGAGCGTGTCCAGCAGGTCAGGATGGCTGNACAAAAAAGGATTAAAAAGACATGAGAAGAAGCGAGACAAAAAAGGATTAAAAAGACATGAGAAGAAGCGAGACAAAAAAGGATTAAAAAGACATGAGAAGAAGCGAGACAAAAAAGGATTAAAAAGACATGAGAAGAAGCGAGACAAAAAAGGATTAAAAAGACATGAGAAGAAGCGAGACAAAAAAGGATTAAAAAGACATGAGAAGAAGCGAGACAAAAAAGGATTAAAAAGACATGAGAAGAAGCGAGACAAAAAAGGATTAAAAAGACATGAGAAGAAGCGAGACAAAAAAGGATTAAAAAGACATGAGAAGAAGCGAGACAAAAAAGGATTAAAAAGACATGAGAAGAAGCGAGACAAAAAAGGATTAAAAAGACATGAGAAGAAGCGAGACAAAAAAGGATTAAAAAGACATGAGAAGAAGCGAGACAAAAAAGGATTAAAAAGACATGAGAAGAAGCGAGACAAAAAAGGATTAAAAAGACATGAGAAGAAGCGAGACAAAAAAGGATTAAAAAGACATGAGAAGAAGCGAGACAAAAAAGGATTAAAAAGACATGAGAAGAAGCGAGACAAAAAAGGATTAAAAAGACATGAGAAGAAGCGAGACAAAAAAGGATTAAAAAGACATGAGAAGAAGCGAGACAAAAAAGGATTAAAAAGACATGAGAAGAAGCGAGACAAAAAAGGATTAAAAAGACATGAGAAGAAGCGAGACAAAAAAGGATTAAAAAGACATGAGAAGAAGCGAGACAAAAAAGGATTAAAAAGACATGAGAAGAAGCGAGACAAAAAAGGATTAAAAAGACATGAGAAGAAGCGAGACAAAAAAGGATTAAAAAGACATGAGAAGAAGCGAGACAAAAAAGGATTAAAAAGACATGAGAAGAAGCGAGACAAAAAAGGATTAAAAAGACATGAGAAGAAGCGAGACAAAAAAGGATTAAAAAGACATGAGAAGAAGCGAGACAAAAAAGGATTAAAAAGACATGAGAAGAAGCGAGACAAAAAAGGATTAAAAAGACATGAGAAGAAGCGAGACAAAAAAGGATTAAAAAGACATGAGAAGAAGCGAGACAAAAAAGGATTAAAAAGACATGAGAAGAAGCGAGACAAAAAAGGATTAAAAAGACATGAGAAGAAGCGAGACAAAAAAGGATTAAAAAGACATGAGAAGAAGCGAGACAAAAAAGGATTAAAAAGACATGAGAAGAAGCGAGACAAAAAAGGATTAAAAAGACATGAGAAGAAGCGAGACAAAAAAGGATTAAAAAGACATGAGAAGAAGCGAGACAAAAAAGGATTAAAAAGACATGAGAAGAAGCGAGACAAAAAAGGATTAAAAAGACATGAGAAGAAGCGAGACAAAAAAGGATTAAAAAGACATGAGAAGAAGCGAGACAAAAAAGGATTAAAAAGACATGAGAAGAAGCGAGACAAAAAAGGATTAAAAAGACATGAGAAGAAGCGAGACAAAAAAGGATTAAAAAGACATGAGAAGAAGCGAGACAAAAAAGGATTAAAAAGACATGAGAAGAAGCGAGACAAAAAAGGATTGAAAAGACATGAGAAGAAGCGAGACAAAAAAGGATTGAAAAGAAATGAGAAGAAGCGAGACAAAAAAGGATTAAAAAGAAATGAGAAGAAGCAATACAAAGAAGGATGTCAAATGGAAGGGCTTAGAAAAATGATTTGCTGTGTTGAGCTCAAACTCATCTACAAGGCAGGCTATGTTGAAAACACTTCGATCCACTCTTAACAAACAGCTTGGTGCATCATCACCAGAGCCTGTCCAGCATTTGTACAGCGGTCTTCTTTAGCTAAAACACCGGTCAATTATGACATACATCTGTAATTAGCCAGCTGTAGTACCTGTAAACCATTTATAGCAGCTGTAATAGCCGTCACCTGCGTTCATCAACCCTCTCCAGCAGCTGTAATAGCCACCACCTGCGTTCATCAACCCTCTCCAGCAGCTGTAATAGCCACCACCTGCGTTCATCAACCCTCTCCAGCAGCTGT